CAAATCAATCAATGTAATACACCACATTAACAAATTGAAAGATAAAAACCATATGATTATCTCAATAGATGCAGAAAAAGCCTTTGACAAAATTCAACATCCATTTATGATTAAAACTCTCCAGAAAGCAGGAATAGAAGGAACATACCTCAACATAATAAAAGCTATGTATGACAAACCCACAGCAAGCATTACCCTCAATGGTGAAAAATTGAAAGCATTTCCCCTGAAATCAGGAACAAGACAAGGGTGCCAACTCTCACCACTACTATTTAACGTAATTTTTAAAGAAATTAGTTTCTTAGAGATGAAACAAAAACTTGCCCTAGCAAATAAATCCTACACATCTAACTAAAAAAAAAAGCAGCTTTTGAGAAGAGTAATAAATTATTACCTTCTCCTTACTCAACTTCAATGATGTGTATAATTCATTCCAATTATGAAAATTAAAAAATTAAAAGTAATATAAGGTTATTACCTCTAGATTTACATTAAGTAAAAATTACTAAAATGCTTAAAGATTAGAGTTTAAGAATTCAGTTTCTCTGGAAACCCCTCTAATACAAGAAACATTATCAAAATACAATGAAAATTAACATTCATTTTATATTAAACTAAAATAGTGCACGAAAATAAAGTGAAAGGACTAATTTATAAGAAACTTTAAAAATACATATATGAAAAGGGAAAAATTATCTTAGAGAAGTAAACAAGAGTTAGGACTACTGAATTTAGTTCATTACTGTTCAGACTTATCTAGTCTTACATTTTCCCCAACATGCTCTGTCTCCACCTGCCACTACATCTGAGCCTTATTTGAATGAAAGATTAAACATTAAAAGATGGCAAGAACTCTTACCGATTTCTCAGGGTCTTGTGCTCCAGAAGCTGCAACCCTGAGATCCAAATCTTTTTCTCTAAACAAAATTAAAGTTTTATATATTACAAGGTTATAATAAACAGTATCAAAATCATAATCATTATTGAAACAAACTTATGAAGTCCATGCAATGACATCTCCAAAAATAAATAGTAAATAATTTCTTTAATTAACAATAAAACCTTAAATAATTCTGAAAACTAAATTTTCTGCTTTGGTGCAAAGTAAACAAGCATTTACATGCAAACTGAGTTGGAATAAATATCTCTAAACCAATGCCTGGGATACTTCAAAGTCTAAGCAATTTACACAGAATAAAGAAGTAAAACAAAGTCTTTACTTAATAAAACAAATAAAAACTTCTTTTAGGGTACATGTATATCTTCAGTTCACAAAAGGGAGGATAAAAAAATTTTAAATTAACATGATACTCTCCAGTAACAGTGTTCAAGAAAATGATATTAAATATGGCTAATACCAGACAACAGATACTGGCTTCCTCTAAGAAAAAGGCAAAACTAAAAGGTGACAGGTCTCAAATTCTCTAGAATCAAAATATCTATCCCTAATTTTAAACTGAAATTATTATTTCAGAGGTCTTTCTACATGAATGATTACACACTCTGAGTGTTGTATACAATCTACATATCTGTGGATCTCTCATGATTATTTTTATATGGCGTGTACACACACATGTGCTTACCATTTCACTGTTAGAAGACAAAACACTTTTATATTTGCTACTATATATGGGATAACACAGTGGGCATGTAGATAATATTAAATGCTTCCCTAAAATTGAAGAATTAATGAGAGTATGTACAAGGCCTATTACAGAATGAACACACAGTCTCTTTTGTTACCTATAATGAAGAAAATGATTACCCTCAAAGTATCTGTTTTATTACTCTGGCTGATTTATAATGTGGAGACTAAAATAGAATGATTTACAAACACAGAACTGTATTAGGAAAAATATTCCCTTATTTTACCATGTAACAGTTACTACCATGTCATTTTAAACAAACGTATTTAAATTCAAAACATCTTTGTTAAATGCAAACCTTTCATTACCGTCTCTTGTTCCTCTGTTGTTCAGCCATTTGCTCCAATAGCTCTTGTCTATATTTCTCTTTCCTTCTCTGAATAAGTTCTCGATCTTCATCCCCTAGAAAATGGTAAAAAAAAAAAAAAAAAATGCAGTCTTAACTCTGAAGTAACACATGTAACTGCAAAGTCAATTTTTTAATTTCATTGTAATTATATCAGAGTATAATTATTACATATGCAGCAAATATAGAAGGTAAAATCATATGTATCATTACATATTCAATTTTAGTTTTATAATTTATGAATAACTACTATGTGTCAAACACAAGGCACATTAATCCTTCCCAAAATTCTACATTAGTCAAAAACCTTCTTAAATAAGAGAGTAATTTCTATTGCCACTTTCCATAAATCAAGATACTATCTCCAGTAATATTTCCCACAAGCCCCTTAAATTTAACAAGTGTGTTCAAAATGGACATCACAAAAGCAACTGCCCCTTTGTTTTCTGTTAGCAGCCTAATAATTGAGCCTCAAAATCTCACTATAACTTTGCTATCTCATCCTTTCTTATTTATTTCATGTGAAGCCCCTCTTCTCTACTGTAATGGCCATCAACCTTGGATAGGAACTCTACATTTTACCTGAATTGCAGCAATAACCTCTTAACTTGTCTCCAGAACTTCTTCCCTCCCTATTCTAATGCATCCAGCACACTTATGTATGATTAACTGTCCTAAAATACAACACTAATCATGATGACACCCTGCTCAAAAAATTTCAATGGTTATTTCAATTCTACAGGAAAAAAATATGCAAAGCTTTTACTCTGGTATCACTTACATGAAAATGCAGTCATGCAAAATCCAGAAAACTACACAAATTACAGGATATCAAAAATGCAACTGAACCAGAAACTTCTCTACTACCTTAATTATTAGTTTCCTTTTGTCCATTAAGCACAGATGTCAGCAACACTGAAGTTCCCATAAGGTAATATAAATTATGTTAAGGTTAATAATAATGGTTTACAATCAAAGTAGATATGTCCATTCTGCTTCTGATCATGATGGAATTAACAAAGCACAAAACTCAGCCTCCTTTCATTAAAAAAATAATAATAAAACTAGGCAAAAGATATGAAATAACTGTTTTTCAGACACTGAACGACAGGTAGCACACGTAATAACTGATGGAAGGTAAATAAATGTGAGCACCTTTCAAGCACCCTCCATTTCTGCCTGCATGCAATCTTCACAAGTATAGGGAAGGAAAAAATTTAACATGGGAAACAGTTAAATTGAGCAAATAAAGGTCAAAATTTAGGAAAGCTAAAGTGGCTAGAAGTTTGGGCCAAAGACTCAAAAAGAAGAGTAAAAGGGCTTTGGGAATCTGTAAAGGGGTTCCTCTGAACTTTACTGTGAACTAGTCAGTGTATGCAGAGTGAAATTCCATTAGGCTGGGTTAAAAAAAAATACAGAGAACCCATAAACTGAATTCACAGACCTCCTCCAATGAAGTGGGGAGAAATTTAAGCTCCAGCCACCTAGACTGGAGTTCTTGGTGATCCTTTAAGAGTACTCAGGGAAGAGGAGCAAGCAGGGAAGCTGCTCTAGATGTTCCAGCTGAGTTTAAAATAAGGCCTCAGAGAGACTGGTCCTTAGGTAACAGAAAAACATGAAAGTGGCAGACAAAGTTCTCAGACATATCTACATTCTTTCTCTGCCTTCTGGCGCGAACTTCGTGTATAAACCTTCCCCTGAGTGTGGCAGGACCAATGACTTGCTTCCAGCCAATGAATGTGGCAAAGGTGAAAGGAATCTGCAGATGTATTTAATTAAGGCACCAAACCAATTTTGAACTAATTAAAAGGGAGATGATCTTGGGTGGGTCTGACATAAGCAGATAAAAGTTCTCACTGAGTTCAGAGATTCTCCTTGGTGGCATGATAAAATGAGCAATCTTGGTGGAAAAGTCCACGTGGCAAGAAATAGCAGATGGCCTCCAGGAACTGAGGACAGTGTCTAGCAGATACACAGTAAGAAGCCAGGGACCTTAGTAATGCAGCCACAAGAAAATGAATTGAGCCAAAAATCTGAATGTGCTTCTTTCCCTATAAGGCCCCAAATGAAAAACAGCCTGGCTGACACCTTATGAGATCCTGAGCAGAGGACCCAACAAAATTCATGTCGCACAGAAACAGATGTGTGACATTTTGACCCACTAAATCTTGCTAATCTGTAATGCAACAATAGAAAAGCAAAACAGTGACCCATAACCATTAGAATCAACTGAAAGAAAAAAAAACCCACAGAAACAGAGATGATGGAACAATGAACAAAGATGTTAAGATAGCTACCAAAACTATGCCCAAATATTTAAGTGAAAATAGTAATATAATAAGGATAAAATGAAACTATTATAAAGAACCAAACAGGGAGTCCTACTTCTGCTTAGAAAGTAGAAAGCCACAAGAGAACACTGTTCATACCCTAGGATAGGAAAAAGCTCATCTACAAAATTGTAACTTTTAAAAAGTCCATCAGAGAGCTGAGATTATAAGCAACCAGGTAAACTGAATTTCAAAGGGTATAAAAACCAATTCATAGAAAGATGGGACAAGACAAGTGTTTTACCTTTACCAAAGTATGGAGAAATGGACAGCAGCCTTAACAGTAAGGAATCTGCCTACAATGCAGGACACCTGGGTTTGGTCCCTGGGTCAGGAAACTCCCCTGGAGAAGGGAATGGCAACCCACACCAGTATTCCTGCCTGGAGAATCCCATGGACAGAGAAGCCTGGCAGGCTACAGTCCACAGGGTAACAAAGAGTCAGAAATGACAGAGTGACTAATAGTTTCACTTTAAAAGTAGGTAAAAAGAAAATAACTGAAATGGTAATGAATTCTTAAAGGTTTGTGTGGGGTTGGAGTAGCACCGTAGTTTCTCTGAAAGCCCCAGACACAAGGGGAATCTGCACTCTTGCTGCCTTCACCTGACGCTCATGAGAGGCTGGAGATGGGGCAACCCAAGACACCTGGAAGACAGCATTCCAAGGCAAAACCAACCAACCAACCATTGCCCACTGCCCACATTCCAGACTCTTCTCTCATGTACAGAAATCTATTGGTCGAAGGACAGAAAACCTTGGACCCAGAGTTCTGCCCTCATACAAAGCAAAGGTCTGCTACTGCTAGGGAAGGAGCAGGAAATTCTTACATAGAAGACCCTCCACAAATACAAAGGAGAGTTTGGCTACCACTCTGCGGAGAAGCAGAACACTAAGAAAGACTCATTGCTGAGAACCAAATGCACAGGGCCAGCCTCGCATCGAGGAACAAGCTACAGCAAACCACTGCTGAGCAAGGAAAACTGGCGAGAGAGATCCTGTCTGTCGGGGGCATGCAGGAAAACTGCGGAAGGTAGAGGAATGCTGAGAAAATCCCTCCAGGCCCTACACTAAGAACAAGGTAGTCAGGAAGTTAACACTTCTCTCTAAACAAATCATTAAAGATGTACAAGACATGAACATCACTATCAACCAAATGGCTTGACATTTATAAACTATTACACTCCACAACCACACAATGCACATTCTTTCAAGTACACATTAAACATTCACCAAGAGACACAAAATTCTGAGCCACTGTTTAAAATTTTACTTAAAAAATTGAATTTTGAAATAACTGAAATTTAAAAATTATTTTCCCCACAAGGGAATTAAACAAGCAGTCAATGACAAAAAGACAGCAGGAAAATCCCCAAATAATGAAAATTTAAAAACATACTTCTGAATGATCCATGATTCCATTATAAACCCCACAATATATTATTTTTGCTCTCAGCAGTCAACTGTCCTAATTCTTTAAAGAAAGCAAAAGGCTCCAAACAAGATCCTTGGAGAAAAATTAAAGGAAGACAAATTCCAGCTCAAGAGAAATGAGAATACTGCAACTATCAGAGTCACCTCAAGTTGGAATGTATTGCCTCTGGGGAGTGTTAGTTTCCTAAGGGGACACACAAATATAGCTAGGGAAGAAAGATCCAACCATGAGGTAAATCACTGAATTAAATGAGCTTAATAGTCTATTCCAAGCAATAGAGTCTATTATCAAATATCAATCTGTAATTCCTAGATTATGGAATTAATAACAAATTCATAGCATTTATCTTTAAAATTTTAGGGTAGAGTAATCCATTTACTGATAAAATTGTCAGTGGGTTTCCAACACAGAAAAGCATTTCTCCAATTTTTACCATGTTTAACAAAAAAGGAATCCTAAGAAGGAAGCCATTACTCTTATTGATAGGTTAAATTGGTCAATTCTCATTTAAAGACATTAGAATAAAACTCTGGGTATTATGCCATTTTTCTCATAATAGCCATTTCAAGGAAACAAAAGTGAGAATATTACACAAATATATATCTCTAAGCCAAAATTTGCTGGGAAGTTTTGAAGGCAGGACTGCTGGGAAAAATTGAAGGCAGGAGGAGAAGGGGATGACAGAGGATGAGATGGTTGGATGGCATCACCAACTTGATGAACATGAGTATCAGCAAGCTCCAGGGATTGGTAATGGACAGGGAAGCTTGGCGTGCTGCAGTCCATGGGGTCACAGAGTCGGACACGACTGAGCGACTGAACTGAAGCCAAAATTTAAATTAGTGATTGATTTTAGGTTGGATGAATATAAATTGCATTCTTATACTATAATTTCTTCATATACTTCGCTGAAATAGAATCTCAGGCAATTTTTCTAACAGATTTACACAAAGAACAGACAACTTTTCTACTTAAAAGTTACACACAGGAAATATTCTCTCTTCACACCATTTCTGAAATTAAATGTAACAAGTTAATACAACAAATCAACGTGCTTAAACAATGACCTTCATTTCTGACAAAATAAACAGAATATCTGGATTATAATCATTATTGACCAAAACACTTTCTCAGAAACTAAGTGGAAAGAACATGGGAAAGGATTTTATCAAGAGATAGAAAGGGAGCAACAAGCGGGGCAGAACGGAGAGGAGCGGGCAGCATTGCTTAGGGTAAGGACCGGCCGGAAGACCCTGAGAGCAATCGGAGGGAGCTTTTTTAAACTGTGGGATAGCAAGGGTCAAAATTAACTGGCCCGAACACACTGCCGGCGGTTCGCAAAACAAAGGGACTGAGAAACTCCAGAAAAGAGCCGGCCCATCCCTGCTGGAGGTAGGAGGCAGGGGGGAGGGGAAAAGGGCAAACTCAGGCCCTGAGAAGCCACCGCCTCCCACACTGCAAACAGGCCCCCAGTTCCTATCTAAAGACTTCCTGAGACCCGACTGGCAGTGCCCGCTGGGGCCGGGGAGGGAAAAAGCGCGCCGTACCCGGGGAGATTGCGCCCAAGCCTCTGGCTGCCTGAGCAGCTCGCCGCGGAGGGAAAAGGCGTGCCACATCCGGGGAGAGTGCGCCCAAGACTCTGGCTGCCTGAACCGCTCAGGCCTGGGAAGGCACAAAACACAGGTGCAACCAATCTGTGCTTTTGTGGAGTACCCGAAAACTGGAACCGCACTCAACGCAGGGCCCGCTCCATATAGAGCAGCCGGGAGCCTGAGCAGTGTAGAAGGCGAAAGCACTGACACCTGTGAGCGGGGCAAACCCAGTGTGACCGGAACACGGTGAGGGCTATCCACACAGAGCGGTATCTATCTGCAGCGCCCCGCCCTCCCCTGACAAAAACCACTGCAATGTTGTAAAGTAATTAGCCTCCAACTAATAAAAATAAATGGAAAAATAAACAAATAAATTAAAAAATAAATAAATAAAAGTTGAAAAAAAAAAGAGATAAAAAGGTTTCATTCAGGGGAACTAAACTAAAATGTACAGCACTTTTATGCTCGCTAAAGAAAAAGAATCAAGAAGAAAACTATTACATATAAAAAAGAATATAAGAAACAGTAACACTACAATAAAGTGAAACATGAATTTTAAAGATTTTACTGAACTTAATACTTCATTTATCATCTACAGAAGTTCATCACTAAATAAAAGCAATTTAGCTTTAAAATTATAGACAGAGCTATATAATACATGCTAAATGTTTAGAATAGTGCCTATCACAGAGTAAGCACTAGAGAAATTTTTCTACTAGTAACAGTGGTACTAATTGCAACGCTGAGTGCTCACTAAAGACCTTTTATAAAACACTGCACAGAACTCTAATTAACCGGAGGGCATGTACACACCAAAGAGCATTCCCGCAAAAGGACTGCACATCTCTCGATTAGTAGGTTTGGATGGTTCATTGTCTCGAGCACTAAAAACAAAAAAACAAAAAGAATCAAGACTCAAACAATTTTCAGGAAAAAAAGTTAAAGTGAAATGTAGGTGTGAGTTATTGGCCTTTCAACATACTATGGATATTACTAACATAACAGTTTTTACATGTTTTTTAAAATAAAGGTAAAATCATGGCATTTTATCTCTTTATACAGTGAGACCCCAAGGCATTCAGGGGACCCCAAGGCATTCACATAAATATGTGAACCTTTTTCTTCAGCCAGCTTCACTGACTCCAGACTCCCAATAAAACCCTTTTTCATAAGAACAGTTAACCCAGTAAGGAAAATGAACATAAGTACACACAAATAAATCCTAAAAAAAGAGGATGATATCTATACCACCCACACTCAGAAAAGAAGATCATCTTTAAAAGAAACTCCTTCCTTGAAAGACAGAATCAAGGGGGGAAAAAAATAAAGACAACTCTTTCAAAGTAAATTTAATTTGACTCAAACAGAAAATCCAAATACAGATAGACTCAAAATAGACAACTTTCCTGACACATATTACCTTCATTATGCACTATAAATTCAGAACAACACAAGAAAGCCACCAAAAGATAAAAAACTATAGAAAAAGAACATGAATATAAAATGCATATAATTTCCTTTTTTACCCCAATATAACACAATTATGTATGAGCACTAATCTTACGAAGTAAGCAAAAATGTTATCTACTCATTGTTGAAAATGATAGTTTTGAAAAGAAAACTCATATTACAAGAACATTTCAATTTATTTCAATTTATGTCCCCTCCATAACTTCAAGATATTTTAAATTGATCTTTGGTCCATTAAATTATATGCTTATTTCTCCTTTCATTAGTTCAAATTTATAGATTTTATAATGATAGGACTCAGAACACCTTGGCACACTTTATAATCAAAACCTGCCCTTCAAGAGAATGCTGTAAAGTACCAAAAAGTTTCATATAACACAATTCTTCCCTCTCCTTCTTTCCCCTAAATCCTCTCTCACTAATAAGCAAGGCTGTTAACATACTATACCTTTCTAGTTTTCCAGCAAACCAGTTTTAGCAGTTGCTGTTTTACAGTGCAATGGCTGAAGGGCAGAATTTATATTATATACTATACCTTTGATTTCCAGCAGATGAAATTCGTATGTTTGACTGTTCTGTGACATCACCATCATACTCCATAGGAGGCTCATTGCCTCGTCTGTTCCCGTACATCCTTAAAAACATATTAGCTTATAGAGCTTGTTCCACATACAGTGGACTTCTCTTATCTTTCTTTGGTGATTTTACATTTGATGTTGGAAATATTAAAGGGAACAAAGCGTTATAATGAAGTTTTACTGTAAATACATTTGAAAATTAACTCAAATGACATCTGACAATATGATCTGCTGGTTAATGAGACACTTAAAGAGTTTAGATTCAATAGTCTTTAAAACAAAGGGAGATCAATTATAAATTATTTCAATATTTCTAGAAAATCTTAATATTAAAAATATGAAAATACTAATAAGACTTTTTCATTATTTAATTAGTCAAAGAATATTTATTGAGCACCTACTACACGCCAAGTACTATTCCAGGCACTGAGTATGCGCACCGGTCCTTGCTCTCATGAAGATAAGTCAAATTTCAAAATGAGATCTTTATTTTACATCAGAATTCACAGATTCTGAGAATTATTTCACTGCATATACAAACCTTTTACCTTACAAATACAGCAGCAGTCTTACTATGAAATTAAACCAAATGTAGCAAGCCACAACATTTGTTAACACTATAAATCACATGAAATACTAAATAATACCCATAGATGAATAGAGAACATTATAAGCAAATAGGCTGATACATGAGTAGAAAATGATTAGTTCATTTTACTCACAATTTCATGAACAAGAAAAAGGAAGATTAGAATTTTTTAATTTATTTTCTTCTTAAGAATTATTTCCAGAAAATGACTTTTAAGTGTTTTTTAATTAATTTTTTATTTCCACTTGGCAAACAAGGATTCCTTGAGCTTAATTTCTCACATCAAGAAACCAACATGACTTTTATCAGCACCCACGAAAATCAGCATTTCATAAGTCATATTTCTTTGCATGGCTGTTAACAAACTATAATCTCTCTCATGAAGTCAACTGGTAAGAAATATGATTATTAAAGTATTATTCAATAATTTAGGTGAATTTATCATATTAAGAAAAAGCAATTTTCAGAAGAAAAGGAACTTATCACTCTCCACAGAGCCAGCATTAAAATCTTCTGTTTCCATCACACTTTTCAACATCCCCTGTGGAGGAAAGACTACCCAGAACTGTAACCTGACTGCTATGTGCACTGTGGCAGAACAGGCATATGGTTTCCATTTTTTATCCACATCTAAAACAGAATCCTCCCCAATCCCTTTCAAAACACAATTTCAAATTATTTCAATTTATCAAAACACAGCTGATTTTATATCTAAAGGCAAAGGACTCAAATCTCTCTTTTAAACTGACACATCAGTTTACTGTTATTCCTTACTTCTACCACTTAAAGAACAGGGATATATAAACTTTAAGTCAGCTTTGTAGTTAATAGTGCCAGGCAACCAATTTAGTTATACTGCATCTATACAAACACACATGTGCAGAAAAGCATAAACAGCAGGCCTGAGACCACCACCCTTAACACAGGACTGTTTGCAAGAATGGCCCTTAGGTGGCACCTGGGAACACAGACTGGGAGGAGTCCACCATTCTCAGAACTGGCAAGTGTGACCCACTGTGCCTCAACTGTTTGTACAAGCAATAAAGTTTATGCTGAACTCCTGCTTTCTCTCGGCAAGTGTAGAATTTGGGCACATGCTAGGAAAAGGGTGTCTACATGACCAGCCCCCAATAACAACATTGGGCAAAGAGTTTCTAATGCACTTTCCTAGTAGACAACACTTCACCCGTGTTTTCACACTTTGATACTGCAGGAATTAAGCATGTCCTTGGCAGGGGGCTCTTGGAAGCCTGCTCTTGGTTTCCTTCAGACTTTGTCCCATGCAATTTTTTCATTTGCTGTTTTTACTGTGTATTCTTCCACTGTTAATAAACCACAGCCATGAACATAACTACATACACAAAGTGCTGTGAGTCCTAGCAAACTGCCAAACCTGGGGGTGGTCTTACAAATCCACAACACAACAGACAGAAGTGAATTAGTTAACGAGACAAAGCAGAGCATATACCGGTGAAAGTATTCAAATATAGAGACATTTAAAGTTACACATTTTAAAAGACATAACTTGGGATTAAATCAGAATTAACCAGAATTAAAGACTAAGACATACAAAAATTCTCTATAAAATCTATCGAAAAGTTTCTGGCTTCCTGTATTTTCAGTTGTCTAAAAACAACATTTGGACTTGTAATTGTGCCTTATCTTTATACAGCTGTCCCCAAAGTACAGGCTTCCCTGATGGCTCAGTGGGTAAAGAATCTGCCTGCAATGCAGGAGACAACAGGGGACGTGAATTTGATCCTTGAGTCAGGAAAATCCCCTGGAGGAGGAAATGGCTACCCACTCCAGTATTCTTGCCTGAAGAATCCCATGGACAGAGGAGCCTGACTACAGTCCAGAGGGTTGCAAAGAGACATGACTGAGCCATTAAGCACACCCAAAGTATGCTATATTTAGCACATCTACAATGTTTTATCAGCTCTTCAGTATATAAAAACATATCTTAATAAAGCAAGCACCATAAAGGCAAAATAAATTTCAAAGATCATTCTAAATTAAATTTAAGAAATGATTTTATGCATGCATAAGGTCAAGGTCTCTGCTAAATTCTACAGTAAAACCACACAGATTTCCTAACAAAAAGACTATATGAAAGATACTTCAAAGTATACCCTTTCACTAAAGAAAAAAAATTAATTAAATCATAAAAGTCCCCTTCTGTCACTTACTCATAATGAATTTAAGACTAGAGAAATATTTAAGCCAAAAAAGAACAAAGATATGCATTTCACTAAATAAAATTTCACTAATAAAATAAAATCTTAAGACATCCTACTCAATTTTATGAAATCACTGATGACATGATTGTGCTTACTTTGTTAAATCAAGGAAAAATTACTACTTACAAATAGAGATTCATAAATATTTCTTAAATTACTAACACAAGACCTTTAAAAAAAAAAATCAAAGAAGCAAACAAAAAACCTAGAAAGCAACTTAACAAGCTGTGAAGTCAAATTATAGTTTGGAAAGTTAACCACCTTACTCATTACTAAAATGTCCCTATAATTATAATAGAATATCCTTCATTTATTGAACTCGCCTTCATATTTACAATAAATTTAGCATTTAATCACTCTTAACTATCCCAATGAGTTGGCTTTAACTGCTTTTATGAGGCTCTCACAATTTACTTTTATTTTATTGAAGCAAATAAATCCCAAGACAGGGGAACTGGTGAGAGCCAGCAACACTTTCACCATTTGTATCTTATCTCTTCAGTCCTCTTCACATTAAGGGGAGACTGATAGATAATAAAATCCACAAGTAATGAACTCATCAATCATCTAAGAGCAGCCTAATTTTATTTAGATCCAGGGATTCCAGTTAGGGCCAGTAAGTTCCTTCTGTTTAGTGATAACTTGGGAGCCAGTTCCACATTAAAACTATCCCTGTGACCCAGAACTAATTTATTTAAATAGTCTACCACCTTTGATCCACAGGTTCACTTACCACACCTCAAGCCACTGAGGTTTTTTCAGAAAGGGACAGATCTCATAAAAGGAGAACTTTACTTCCTTTGACATATCAAATCAGATTTGATTGAGGGAATAAAATAATTACAAAATATTTCACTATCTTACTATCAAAAAAAGTTAAACCTATGCTAAATGGAAAAAGCTTTTCCTATTTCCTTGAAGACATGGGTCAGTAATTCTAGGTAATTAGGTTCAAATTTCAAGGCCCAAAGAAAACAGGTATGGGCTAGAGGCCAAATTTACTCTAAAAATTAGCATGTTTATCTTTTAAAAAATAATTACTCTCTTACAGAAGAAAAAGCAAGTTGTTTAAAACCACAAGTATTTTCAGCTAAGTTAAATGTGAATGAACAATTTCTAACTGATGATAAAAAACATTTTTCATTAATAAACCACAGAATCAAAAAACTCCTTAAGGAATAAATTTACAATGTTTATGCTATCAAGAATGACATAAAAATAAAATATTTACCACCTGTTGGTCCTGACACAGCTTACAGGGAGAAAGAATCAAGTTCCTCCTTACTTAAATCATAAAATTCATAATGGTTACACCAACTATTTGTTTTCATATCAAAAATTTCTCTAATGTCAATGAATTCTGCTAGGGGGACTCTCAACTATAGAAATTATAAGAAAACTACTGAGCTGTTAAATGTCGGTCACTATTTTTCTCCTTGTTTTCTGTTCTTCCAATTTTCATATTCACTTTAATTCAATAATGAGTTTCTCTAATATTGATCCCATCTTTAAAGTGGTGAAAATGACAAAAAATGGTCCTTCCAAATAAAAAGTAACTAAGGAAAAAAAGTAATACTATGTTTAATAAACTCATGTTCTAATAAACCATTTCTCCTCATTTATATCTTACATATTAAGCATGCACATTTAAGAGTGTCCTACACTAAGCAAGCACTTAGTCTATTGAGTCAGATTCTAGCTCAGATTCTAATTTCACATGAAGCATAATTTCAGAATGTTCTTAAATGAAAATCACAATTACAAACTAACAAATTCAAGTTAAACTGGAAGTGCTAACTGCCTCAGTCACATAAAAACTTTAAAAAAGAAACATTTTTAAGGCTAAAAATTTCCTTTACCCATTACATTAACATTGGTTGTAAAGTAAAACATAATAAGGTAGTATATTAACTTCTACAGCTCAAGTTAATAAATAATAAAGACTAGGATGACTATCTTTTTTAAAAGCATGTAAAAGTTTCAAAGTATTATAAAACAGTATTATATTCAACTTCAGAAAGCTTCTAAAACATTATTAATTTACTTAAATTGGTAAATATGTATCAAACGACACACACATACACACACAGTGCAACTGTCAAGCGAATGCTAACCATCTGTTACCTATTTTAAAACACTGTCAGTGATTGATTAATTTAAGAAAGTAAAATCATTCCCGGGCTTTATCTTCTCATATTTAAAGTGAGGGAAATATTTCATTAATAAATACATAATGGTATACGGAAAAGTTAATAGGGTGATTAGAAAAGAACTAAGATTAAAAACCTAAAAATAAAAATCAAAACTAGAATTCACTTCATGTTGACTATTCAAAGGGAAAAAAAGAACATGAGAAATTTAGAAGTATGAAGAAGAACTTTGTACTTCTCACAATCAGCAGTGATTATTTGTTTTCAAGAAGTTCTGGTTAAGTAGACAGTAAACCAACTATGCACTCCAATAAAATTAATTAAAAAAGAAAAGAAAATGACCTGCAGAGCCAAACAATGATTACAATATATAGTCAGCCCTCGTATCTGTGGGGGTTTCCCTGTTGGCTCAAACGCTGGTGAAGAATCTGCCTGCAGCGCAGGAGACCCAGGTTCAATCCCTAGGTCGGGAAGATCCCCTGGAAGAGGGAATGGCTACTACTCAAGTATTCTTGTCTAAAGAACTCCATGGACAGAGGAGCCTGGCAGGCTCCAGTTCCTGGGGTCGCAAAGAGTCAGACAACTGAGTAACTAACACTTTCACTTTCTGTATCTGTGGGTCCTGCAACCAATCTCAGATAGAAAGTATTTGAGGGAAAAAAAATTCCAGAAAGTTGCAAAAGGCAAAACTTGAATTTCTTGCATACAGGTAACTACTTCCACAGCACTTACAACTCTTTACATAACATTTACATTATATTAGATATTATAAGTAAACTAGAGATGATTTAAAGCATAAGGGAAGATGTGCATAGATTATAAGGAAACACTACACCACTTTACCAAAGGGACTTGAGCATCCAAAGATTTTGATATCCCTGAGGTGTCCTGAAATGGATCCCCCTTGAATACCAAGGAACAACAGTTTCAAGAATAGTTAAAGCAAGAGACCAAATAGTGGTACACATTTCTTTAGTCTCAAAAATTTCACTAACAAGCAAAGTCACTTTCCCTAGCAACCATTCTGCCTGCTAAATAAATCTAGTGATCAATGTGAAATCTTTTTTTTTGCTGGAAAGAAATCTACAAATCTGAAATACAGAAATCCAATTTTAACCTCAACTGCCATTGAGACATATGTGAAAAATCTGACATTTAGAGATGTAAAAGATTACACAATAACAAAATGTATAATAATGATTCACATTTTTAAGAAACATTGTTAAAAACATTAATATATATAACAGGAATTAGTCTCATTGACCTATATATTTAATCTAAACTACTGCTTGGGGAAGATTTTATGTAGAAATTTCATTTCATTCGTGGGATACATAAGAAAAAAGATTGCTCTCAAATTGGGCTGAAATTGATTTGTTAGTTCATGTAGAAATTATCATAAGGTATAATTACAAAAGTAATAGACTAAAATATGTTAAAAACAAAATCATCACAATAAGTTTTTTGAAATTCCAATCTTAAAAGGTATATATTATACTCTAAACATAAACTAACACCATTAGGAAAAAAAGTTCTCATGTACAAGTTAAGGCAGTACCAAGAGTCTTTTTGGACTCTTGTATCTGTATTTCCCCAACTGAGACTTCCCATAGTTCAGGCAGCCTTTGACGACCTCCAGATATAAATATTTTCAAATATAACACGTCACAGAATTTGGAGCATTTTCTGAAGTACAATTAGATCCAAACAAGAGATAAACTATAATTGACATTACAAAATTCTAATCCTTCAATCAGATTACCTGAATCAGAGTGAATATGTTGTACAGCAGAAAACAACACAATCTAGTAAAGCAATTATCCTCCAATTAAAAAACTAAAAATTGAAAAAAAAAGACTGGATATGAGCAGAATGTAATAACTACAGAATAAACAGCAAATGAAAAAGAACTGCAAAGGCTTTGTATAATTATTAATAATTAGAACAATAATCATGTAGCATTATGTCTCAGAAAATTCTCTAAAATATTAAAAAAAAATAATCTATTTGGATGAATGAATGAAACAAGTCCCATAAACTGTTCAGTATTTACATTTAATCCCTACAGGTTATCTAGTCAATGAAAATATCAGATCCTATCATATTTCTATCTCCAAATAAAAAGTTAGATTAAAGCACACTTTGAGTATTAAGGCAAATGACTTAATAAGACCCCGTTGTAGCAATTAATAAATTACAAATAGTGTCACAGAAACAACATCCAAAGGAACTGAAAAGCACCTAAAAATCTGATCAAAAATAGTAAGTGCCATTTCACTTAAATAAATGTTCAATAAGTAACTTAAAAGCAAAAATGTTGATGAAAGTACTTAGAGCATAGAAACATTAAAGGAATGAACTGTATTTCATCTATTTTAAAGTGTTTTTCTCCCCCACATTTTAACATCTGAAACTCAAGAGCCTTGAATCTGGCTGTAAGTCAATTATTGCAAGGAGAAGCTATTTTTCTCATGCCAGTCACCATGGCGCCCTATGGGAGATAACTGAATTCTCGCCTCAGGGTTGTTTCAGACAATGCTGCTAAGTCACTTCAGTCATGTCTGACTCTATGCAACCCCATGCAACCCACTAGCCTCCTCTGTCCCTGGGATTCTCCAGGCAAGGATACTGAAGTGGGTTGCCATTTCCTTCTCCAATGCATGAAAGTGAAAAGTGAAAGTGAAGTCGCTCAGTCATGCCGAACTCTTAGCAACCTACCAGGCTCCTCCATCCATGGGCTTTTCCAGGCAAGAGTACTGGAGTGGGTTGCCATTGCCTTCTCCAGTTTTGGACAATACTGCAGCATAAATTCAGACTGAAAACCTGATACAGTTCAAATTCTCAGGGAAATTCTTTTTAATTCCCTCCACTCAGTGTCAAGGTTGAGAAGTAGAAGTTTCTTTTCTGTCCTTTCCTGTGGGAAAGTTTATTTCCCTTTTAATTTTATATTTACCTAAGTTGTAGCCTTTCAGTGTCCTAGCTTTTTAATTGGGTCCCTTTTTCCTTATCATAGGTTTTTTTCTTTGTTCTTCAGTGACATAAATTATGGTATAAAACTGATAGCATCCTAAAATTAATCAAATATGTACATCAAATGAAATAGCATCTAACAATGATAAAAAGTAACAAGAGTAATATTAAGCAAATAAAATAAAAATGAAGTTGTAAATACCTGTCTTTTGTATAAACTCTCAAAAGTCTTCTATCAAAATCACTTTCATATCTAAACCTCTCATCCATGTCTTCACTTACTTCTGGATCATAGCCTGGTCTGTAATACTGTTTATCAAAAGCACGATCCTCATTAAACCTGTGAAATCTTCTGTCTGGAATGTCAGTCTTGCTGTCAAATCTTTGATGTTTTTTATTGGAAACACCCACTTCTTCATCAGTTTTTTTAATGACTCTTCTACTGTTCCTTAATTCAATTTCATCATCTAATTTTCGGTACCTGTCCTCTTCTAGTCGTCTTTGGTTTAGAAGTTCTTCATATGCCTCTGAAGGAGTTAAGACATCTTTTCTAGGACCCTCTGAATTTTCGAAAGATGACTGTATTTGTGAAGGTAAATCAGGTTTAACCTGACTGATAGGTTTTTTACTTCTTTGATTCTTCTGCTGGTTAATAAAAAAAAGAAGAAAAAGATCTTAATGAGATGCTATTTCCTAAAAGGTAATTAAATTCGCAAATGATGCTTAATCTATTTACCATCTCAACTCAAAGACTTAATCACCCATAAGAAATATCTTTTCTTTAGGAAATAACCTTCAAGGAAGTGTTATCCTTTAATAAAACTTAATAAATACAAAATAAATAGGCAACAATAATATGGATAGATGGTTACAAAAAGAGAAGATAAACTATCCCAAGGAGATTTTACACATATTTTGGCAGTTAAATATTGGTTCAGAATATTTCAAATTAAATGCCTTCTCAACACAGAGAAATATAGGATACAGTAAATTTTTCAACCACTCTTAAATTTGGTTATATTTCTTTACATATATATATGTATATATATACATATAGCTAGAAATTTGTCAGTACAAAAAAATCACTTAAAAATAAAATATAAACAAACATTACTTAAAACCAATCTCTAAAATTAAATCTCTTCCATGAAGTTAAAGTTAAAAACCAGAGTAAGTTCTTCAGTATGAGATAAAACCATTTACAAAATTAAATCTCTCTCCTGTGTTTGGTTCAGTTTGGCTTAACTTTTTAAATATTTATATAAAAACTAAGTGAAATGTTTAATAATATAAAAATATTTTCAAGTGAGTACAAATATTCAGCATGTGGTGGTAAAGATTTATTTAGAAGCAAAACCTACCTCAGTACTCTTTTCCACCTGTCTGAACTTTTCAGTGGATTCTTCCTTATCCCTGAGAAATTGATTATATTCTTTGTTACGTTCAAGTTTCAACCTTTCCTTAAAATAGAAAGCCAAAAGGTAACGTTTAAAAAAAAAAAGGCAATGTTAATTTCAACATTAGGAAAAAGTACCTAACAGTCAAATCAGACTCATACAATTCAGAGATCCTACTCAGCATCAAACTTTACTAGTAATGCCAAAGGCAGGAATAAGGCACAGGAGATGCAGGAAGAGATCAGAGACCACCAGGGCAGTTCCCCTTGTCCATTCTGGACCCACATTAAAATAAGGTTTACTACATGCTTAAGTTCCAATTAACACACGAGATCTCTAACATGAGGGCATGGCTTTGATTTTGAAACACCTACATTTTATACTCCAATAGTTACTTGACTTAGATGATACGTTCCTAGGAGCTGTGACCAGTAAGTCCCTGAATTCTAGGTTTGTTTACCAACAGCAATCCTAGAGAATCTCGGCGCACTCTGCCAAAAGCATTTATACATAAATCTCTTCCACCAGGAAGTACACGAATGTGTTTGCCAGTAGGTCTGTCATTAGCATGTTTCTAAGACTTGACCGGGCTACCTTCCTACGTTCCTTCTCAAGGATATCTCTTGCCTCCAATTCCTCACACCCCACCCTTTGAAAGACCTGCTTCTATCCATTTCCTTCCCAAGTTTAAGGAAAGATCTTTGTTCTATTTAAAACATACAAACATAAAATTACCATAGTAACTAAAATGTTATAACATCAATGTTCTACTGAAACATAAGTATGTTGTAGTAGGAAATGTTCTTAAGACCCAATACCTTCAGCGTCATTGAAACAGTACAACCTAAAAAAGTTTTGCAAGAAGTGAGGCTGTCTTTTGAAACTTACTGTCCTTTTGCCTTATATACTATATCATGATTCTGATCTAGCTTGGGAATTTGAATATCTACAAGAGGAATACAGTGCTTAATCACTACCCCCTGTTAAGATAATATACATTTATTTGTGATAGGAACACATATTCAAATAGCCCAAAAGTCACCTATATAAAAGCTCAGTATACTCTCATCCACTCATCTCACTGATAACATTTTTCATATACCATGAACTTTATAGCTTAGAAATCAATGCTTTAAAAAATGAATTCTAAATATTCAATTAATCAATGTATTAAAGGAATATAGCATATTACATGGTTACAAATGTGACATTCCAAAACATTTTTTGAACAGCACTAGAGACTCAACAGATTTTGAAAAAAATCAAGTATGGAAAATGACGTAAACTTGTTTGCATTTAAATCAAGAGTATGCTCTTTCATGATTTTGATGCCTCAAGAAACTGCTATCCATAACAACTATTCCTATCCACCTACCTTAGCAGACAACCTCTCACCAATAGGAAGAGAAACTCCCAGAGTAGATGGATCTGTTTCACTCGTGGATAGAAAATTTTTCTGTATACAGACACACACATTAAAAAAACATATTACCTAATTGCCTTTATAAAATGTTTCATAAATGTGCTTTACATTCTATTAATATAGTCTAAATTATTACATTATACAAAGCAACAGAATGAAATGGAGATGAAGGCAGAAACTACAAATGTGTGAAGACTATACCAAAATTAGAAAAAAAGAGAATTTTCTAATTTTTCTGCAATCAATGGACATCTATTTAAATGCCAGAAGACATAAACTATGAATGTTGTCTCTTTCTGAGCCTCTCCATTCCTGTCCACTAAGCATTTATGTGATGCAATGTGACAGACAGCGCATCAGACTAGGAATCCAGAGGCCTGGGCTCCTGGACCAGCTACAGCAATTCCCAGCTGTGCTACCCTGAGCAAGTCGCCTAAGCATTCTTATTCAGACTTTCTCCTGTAAAACGAAACTGGAATCTGTTCTGCCTTAGCAAAGCTGCTACAAGATCAAGAAGGATTTTAAAAATGTAAAATCTCTTTGAATACCATAAAACAAACACAAGGGATTTATAAAAAATAAATACAATCCCCAACTTTCTGGTACTGGTGCTGAGTAGTCATATAATCTGGAGAAGTTACTTAATTTATCTGCTTCTGTTTCTTTGTAAAACAATAATAATAGCATCTATATTATTAGGTAATGAGGATTAAATCAATCAATACTTATTAACCTAATTCTATGACTTTTCTGTATTCATAAAACAAACAATCTAATACTTTTCTGTTACTTTTACAGGTGGTAGGGAGAAAAAGATAAGCATATGTTCCCTATATTTAAGAGATTTATAATTCAAATGAAGAAACAAACATGGAAACAAATAACTACAATATAATGTACCACAACAGAGTTACACTCAAAACATCATGGGAACAAAATAATTGATAAAACAGACTAATCTGAATTTAGAAATAAGCTGTGCTACAAAAGCTAATTTGAAAGGTGGTTATATAAACTCTAAGCTTATTTGTTAAGAGAAACAATTTGACACACGACTAGATACCTGAGTCAGTTTGATCCCTATATACCAAAGTACAATGTAAACCTAGTCATTTTGTAGTTACACATGTATCAAAAAAAAAAAAAAGGAGTTCCAATTTTGAGCATAGAGAGATACTGTATCCTTATTCCTTCATTAAGCCATGCCCCACTCCAAACAGGGGCCCAGGATGATGTTTGTACTTTTCAATAAAATGAAAAAAATTAATAATAAGGCCGACACAGTGAACTTTGTTGAACTTTAATCATTCACTCATTCATTTAGTAAATACTGAGGGCCCAATATGTCTACACTGTTTGATACATCTGGGACTTATCAGTGAAGAAAACAAAAGATCTTTGCCTTCCCAAAGCTCACATTCCAGCAGGGAGAACTGACAAGAAATGATAAACACAATGAAGAGTAATTGTACAGTACGTTAGAAGGTGGTTAAGTGCTATGGCCAAAAAATAAATAAATAAAATGAAAAGAACAGTTGACAGGTAGCCTACAGGCTTCTAGGGCATGGGAGTCGAAAGATTGGAAATCTGGAGTTCCCTTTTTAGACGTGCTCAACACAAGATACCCACTAGATTTCTAAGTGAAAATGTAAAAGAGTTTGAGGTTCAGGAGAGAGGTCTGGGCTGAAAATAATTTACTGACTCAGTTTAAAAACTTCTTCTGAAAATATGTTCTTTTTGTGTTTAGATGGCCAAGTGTTTTTTATTCTAAAGACTAGAAAGAAGATGGTAGTTAACTGTTTAAGTGGCTCTTCTTGGCAGAACTTTAAGATTTGATCATTTTTTTAAGTTAACACTCTTGCCAAAGTCTGGAAGCCACAAGAAATTCAGAGAGAATGGGACTTGGAAACTGTACATATTCCAGGGGTCAAGGAAGCCATGGCAGCCTACATAATTTTCTTTTTCCCTTGCTTTCCTCTCCACTCCCGCCTTCTCAGATGTCAACCAAAAATTGTCTTTGTCATATTAAGGAACTACTGTTCCTCTACCACAACTATATTCTTAATAATCTAAGACCAAAAATTCCTTCACAGCCCTTTAAAGATTTGTGCTCCTCGATTCTTCTCTTTCATAAAGGCAATTTCTTCTTATACCTTACATTGCCATTCTTTTTTAAAAACGTTGTGTCTATAAAATAATGCAAAACCCACAAGTGAAAGTGGTGGTGGTTTAGTGACAAGTTTTGTCCAACTCTTGCAGCCGCACGGACTGTAGCAGATACTAAAGGAAAACCTCACTCAAAGAGCGGTAAGGAAGGGGAGAGGACAATGAGGCCCAAGGCCAGGGAGGCAGGCTGGATTGTAATGAGACTACTCATGTCATGCTAAGGAACTTGAATTTTTATCCTGAAGGCAGAGAGGAGACACACACAGAAGGATTTCAACTGGTAAGGGACAGGATCATGCTGGAAAGTAGCATGGAGAACGGACAGAGAATCAGAGCAAGGAGATCATTCAAAAATCTGGAGGCCTTTCCTGATCATTACAGTACCTGCCTTGTTAAGAGAGTTATCACTGTCTGAATTGTATAAATGTTATCTCTACAACTAGATTCTAAGCCCCTTGAAGACAAAATTCATACCAGATTCATCTCCATGACAAGTGTTTAAAAAGTGTTGGCTGAAAGATAAATGGATGTGTGAGATTCATTTTAAAAACAGTTTTATAAAATGTTTTCTTCATTTTCCAATATAAGTTTGCAAATGTAATCCACAGGTTTGGGAACCAAAATATTGAGTAATCCAGACTGACAACAAACAGTTCAAAAATATCTTAGAATATCTTAAATATTCTGTTGTTTAATTAATCTTAATGTGACTAGTACAATTATAATTATTTTGAAGAACAAAAACGTGCATGCTGAGAACAAATGAATTTACAATAGCTATAGAATATTTCTAAAGGATGCATAAGAAAGCAACAAAAACAAATGCAAAGCAGGAATCAAAAAGAATGCTTGATTGTACTAATGGAAATGTAAGATATATAGACTGTCATTTTGCTAAAAGCAAGGATCCAAAATGGTGCCATTAAAAAGTCTCTGAATCACAAATGAAGTTATTTTTATTAGTTTGCGAACAACAATATCATATATGCAAATAATCACAAGCTACCAGATCTAAAACAAAACAGTAAAGAAAAACATTTTGCAGGCAACCCTACCTTTCTTTTTGCTTGTGTAATACCCTAAAGTCAAGGGAAACAAACCATTGGTAAAATGTATTCAAAGTCCTTTCTCTCTATGTTAAATCAGAATAAATAAGAGATGATTCATACATGTGGAATAAACATTACAAAGTAGGAAGAAACTAAAGAATCTCTTGGGATGACTAGAAACATCATGACTGTTTTAGATACATTTATAACCTAGTAAACTAAACTATATTTTAAAACTATAATAATTAGTTTAGTTATCATATAATTTAACAGAAAGTACTTAAAATGAGAGTTCCAATAAGTAAATAGTTAAACCATAAAGCAAAACCTGATGGTTACGGAAATACGCTGAATGACGTTTTATAAGCTTAGTTCTTAGCAAAGTAATTAGAAACTAGAACTCCACGTGTCATTTTAAATCATGGTTGAGGGGAAGAGAGTAGTAGCTGTGCTATTTCACACCATGACTACTTTACAAAAAACATGAACAAGAATTTACAGTCTCATTTAAAATTAGAACCCACTGCCCTCCTTAAAAGGTCAAGAATCTGTTGTATTTCATGGCACCAATTCTCAGAACTATTTTTTTCTCTATTAATGTCATATATATCACTTAACTTTCGCTACAGTACATTGTTAGGTACCCCTAAAAACGAAAATATTAATGTACATGACTAAAAAATCTTATGAAAATAAATTCAGGAGGCAAATTCTAAAGCACAAAACCAAATGAGTTACTAGAACTCATTACCTGAGTAAGATAGCGTCTGTAATCTTGTCGCAATTCTTCTTTCAGCTTATGTTTCTTCTGTTCATAGTCTTCCCCAAGTGGTAAACTTAACCCATAATCAATTCCTAGAAAGAAAACAACTTCTTAAGCAATGTAGCTCACTGCAACCCAATCTCAATTTCAATGCAATGTCCTGTAACAAAGCACAGTAGGAAGGAACACAGTCATGTGGATTCTGAGACGTGGATCAGGATAATAAATTTTTTATTTGAAATGTTTCAATAGGTAATACATTCAAACAATGGAAAATATCCCTCCCACCCACTTTTCCCGCCCAGAACAACCAACACTGCTGTATCTGGGTCTTCTTCCAGAGGTTTTTTATACATCTATAAAAGGTATCTTCATAGTACTATGTGTGGGTGTTATATTTAGTTCTTCCCCCTTTTGATAGATGGCTCTGCATGTTTTCCATCTTTTTTTTTTTTTTGATGTGGACCATTTTTAAAGTCTTTATTGAACTTGTTACAACACTGTTTCTTCTCTATCTCTGGTTTTTTGGCTGCAAGGTTTGCAGGATGCCAGCTCCCCAAACAGGGATCTGTTCCCACACCCCCTAGATTGGAAGGTGAGGTCTCAACCACTGGACTGCCAGGGATGTCCCTGCCATCTCGCTTTTTGAAGGACAGCAAAATTAAAGCAAAGAAAAGCCAATTACCTTTACTTCTTCATTTAATTCTGCTGAAATTCTTTTAAAATACCTACAACAACTTTAATATGTGTCTTTTAGTCTGTGAAAATTAATCATGTGATATTCTGACATAGAAGAATATGTGTCGTAACAGTTTTTTAATTGAAGGATAGCTGATTTAAAATGTTGTGCTAATTTCTGCTGTACAGCAAGGTGATTCAGTTACACGTATACACGTGAAAGTGAGAGTGAAGCTGCTCAGTCACGTCCGACTCTTTACAACCCCGTGAACTGTATAGTCCATGGAATTCTCTAGACTAGAATACTGGAGTGGATAGCCTTTCCCTTCTCCAGGGGATCTTCCCAACCCAGGGAGTTTTTCATATTCCTTTCCATTATGGTTTATCACAGGGTATTGAATAAAACATGTCTGAAAAAACTGTTAGGCCATGCATGGTTTAGGCTGAAATTTCCAAAAAATTTTAAAGTTGCAAATTCTGATTTCATATAAATGGATATTAATTTTTATTGTGGTAAAACAAACATTTTAACCATTTTCAAGCATACAATTCACTGGTATTAAGTACATTCAAAATGTTGTACAATCATTACCACTACCCATTTCCAGAGTTTTGTCATTTCAAATAGAAATTCTATAAAAGAATCTTAGTTTTCTAAGAAAAACTTCCATTTTGAGTAGAGCTTCCTTATGCAAGAGTTCAAAAATCAAATTACATCTTGGGGTGATGACCATAGCGATGGCTGCACAACTTGTAAATACAGTGAAGACCACTGAATTGTACAATTTAAATGGGTAAACTTTATGGTATGTAAATTATATCTTAATAAAACAGTTAAAATCAAATATATACTTTAAAAATATTTTTAATACTAAAACACTATGTCAAGCACCAACATCAGGTAAGTGTTTCCATTTCTGAAGCCTCTTTCATTTTTTTAGTCCTACTGAGTGAGTGAGTGAGTGAAGTCTCTCAGTCATGTCTGACTCTTTGCAATCCCATGGACTGTATCCCACCAGGCTCCTCCCTCCATGGGGATTCTCCAGGCAAGAATACTGGAGTGGGTTGCCATTTCCTTCTCCAGGGGATCTTCCCGACTCAGGGATTGAACCCGGGTCTCCTGCACTGCAGGCAGACGCTTTAACCTCTGAGCCACCAGGGAGCCCTTTTAGTCCTACTAGACAATACTAAAGTATAAAATATTATTTCTGAACAAAATAAATTTTTTCCTCAAAGTCAGCTACAAGAAATACAGGTGAAATAACTGACTGTAGGTAATATACCAACAGGAATATTACCATTTTTTCTGCCTTATCCCTCATAATGCATCTAAATGATGGAAACTTTTCATGACTATGTCATATCATTGTTGTGTTACATCACTGAAATGTTCCAGGATCAAAAATAAAACCAAAGCAGTATAACTATAAACGAACGTCTATTGATTTTTATGTAATACTGAATTCCCCTTTCTATCATAAAAACCCGAATTCTCTTCACAAACACTCCTGGCCTACTTCACTCCTCATGACGAGGGTGTAACAGAGGACTCCTTAAAGATGCCTCTTACTCACGCTCCCAATTCTCTTCCAAAAGAATCTAAAGCATTCCATATAAATTCATCTGAGAAAGACATTCTTTCCTCACAAAGAAAATTTACAAACCTATTCTCAAAGAGACAGAATTTAAGCCTAAAGAGAAAATGGTTTGCTTTTCACATTCAGAAAGGAATTTCAGACATGAACTTAGAACTATAAAATCCATAAACGCACAGTCCATGCTTTATTCAACTTTACAATAAATGTGTAAATGAATATATGAATGAATGCCTGAGTAAGAGAAAGATCAAGAAAAACCCTATTCTTAGTATTTCATTTCTGCTTTTAGGAGTATGATTGCATAGAAAGAGTAAGCATAATGACTAGTAACCAGAGTTATTTGTCTCTAGTTACACAAGGTCACAATGGATGCACTATTGTGTCAAGGAGGAAAAGAAAACAGTGCTACAAGGATGATGCCCCCCAACGTGCTCAGCTTTCCTACTCAGCAGAACAAGTAATTTACAGCTTTTTAAGTCATGTATTTAAGGTGGCTTTTACTGCTGATTTTCAATTCTGCTTTGTAGGTTTATATGAAAGAAAATAAAGAAAAATATGGTTCATTTTCATCTATAGTTACTATTCATATGAAGTTTATCCTGAGTATCTGCTTTTTACTATTGATTCAAATAGTATTTGTATTAACTGTCTTAAAAAATGAGTGAGTATACATAATGCCTTCAGAATTATTTAAAATTTTATTAACTAAATGTTCAGCCAACAGAAAATACTCACTTTTTAATTATTTTTATCTGGTACCAATATTTTACAATATTAGAGGTAGGTCATAGACACAAAATTAAGAACTGTATAGAACAATTTAAACATTCTGTGCACTTTAAACTAAGTATTAACAACAGGATCCTAACTGACTTAATGAACTGAGAAATATGGTGAGACTTACTTTTTCAGGGCAGCTGTCTTCTGATTGTTCCAGGGGCAAGTAAAAGCATCAGTGTCACCTTAGGGTCAGTTGAAGTGATGTCACTTCACCAAATACAACATCAGTGACTCTAAGTTAACATTATGCTTCAGAGCTAGAGCAATTCAAAGTATCTGGTTTCCATAGCAGGTATGGGTTAAATATTTAAACAACAGTGTGTAATCTCTTTAAAATTAGTTTTCATTTTCTAACAGCACTGATAGTAGATACTTTACAAATACCATGGAATACTTAGTTTCTTCTTTTCATTATTATATTACCATCAAAAATGTATTATGTCAAAATAATCAAAGGACAAATTATAGGAAATAATGCTAAGCCTTTCCATGAGCAAGTTACTTATCAAGAGATGCAAATACTTTGAGGAGAACTTCAGCTAAAAGACATTATTACAAAGGACCCATCTGACTTGTACAAACTGCACCAAAGAGGTAGAATGTCTGGGATTTAGCTTGGAATAAGAGAAACCTAAGACTACACATGCTACAAGGAGTGACAACTAAAAGTACTATTAAAAATTAGTAAAATCAATTTATTTTTCTTTTGTCTAATTTCCAAAATCTTTTTTAGCTTAAACTCTAGAATGACGCTGCAATAAGAAACTCTGCTGTTGCTTCTTTTCTGATATTTTTAAATTGCAGCAATGTAACTTCCCTTCTTTATAATTCTTTTCAAGTTTCCACAAGCACAGCTGTATTTAAAATTTTTTTAAATCATACTAAATAATTTCTAGTGACAAGAATAAAATTTTTTCTTACTTCAATAATCTGCAAACTTTTTGCTTGCAGATTTACCTGAATTCTGAGAATGAAAACTAAAATAACTTTTGGACATTCCGGAGCCTGAAATCAATGGCACTTTGATATGAGTGAGAGATATTGCCTAGAAATGGTGGATGTATAAAAAAATACCTAGGGCCTACAAACATTAAAGATGGATCCTGGAGTATTCAAAGTTTAGAGCTGAGGGAGATAGAAAGGAACCAGAAAAAAATAAAGACTGAAAAGGACTGTGTTGGGAGTCTTCAAAGCCATCCTCAGGTTTGGTGACTTGACAGGACTCACAGAATGCAGAAGCCATTATACTCACAATTATGGTTTATTACGCTGAAAGGATACAAAGCAAAATTAACAAAGGAATGAGGCACTGTTCAGGGTAAACTAGGTTCAAACTTCAAGAGTTCTTCCCCAGTGGAATCACACTGGATGTGCCTAATTCCTGCACAACAAGCTGGGACAGCACACATGAAGGGTCATCTCCCAGGGAAGCTCCCCCCTCAGTGCCCAGGGTTTCTAATAGGAGCTGGTCACCTAGGCACCCTCTGCTAGTACGTACCAAAATTCCGAACCCTACAGACAGAAAGCAGGTACTCTACATAAGCCCTATGGTTTATATAAAGTTTAGGCACAATGAGCCATTCTTTTTATCAGTGTAAGAAACTATTTAGAAGCTAAATTCCAGAGAGCAGCCAAAAGCCAGCCTGCAGTGGAAACCCTAGCAGCAGACAGTAACTGGTCCAGGTCTGCCAACAGACAGTAAGGTTCTTTTTAATCTCAAGAGGTCATGGTCATGTCCCTATACTGTAAATGGTGGTATCTTCAAATGCACAACAGGATTTATGCTACTATATACAGAAAAAGAAGAGAGGGTTATACACATGTGTGCAGTCTAGTCATGAAACTGTATACAAGAAACTGCTAAATAATTAGAGGACAATTGTTAGGAGGATCATCAGTTCTCATGCTATACACTTCTATGTCATTTTTTTTTTTTTTTTACCATGTGCACATTTTCCTTTATTTCTTTAATGAAAAAAAGGGGGGAAAAAACCTTAAATACAGCAATGCTCTCATCATTGAGCCAGGAACTACACTTTAAAAGCAGTACAAAATCTATGGATGTAGAGCCAAAATACACTTACATATGAAAAAAATGTTGAAAGTATTTACTGTATTATTTCATTTATTAAAAATGTCTTCCAGGATATAAAACATCTAAATGAAAGGAATAATCCTCAACCAGTCTAAGGGGAAGTGTTCAACTTCTCTAAAGAAGAGAAAGGATGAGGGGATGATCTTTGACTGATGTAAGACAGAACTAAATTTAAAAGATTAAATGAAGCATTTCTCATCAACAATGTTATGAAACATGAAAATAAGCTGGTCAGAAAGGTTTAAGGATTTTTAAATAAAATAGTAACAAGCATTATGCCTAGAAATGGTTTAGGGAGATGGAAAACAGCATTTGCTTTTACAGATTGTTTTCAGATTTTCTCATAATTTCATTAAATCTAAGTAATTCTAACAAACTCCTTATCAATGACACCATTTCATCAGCATATATCAACCAAGCCATGCACATGCTGTGTATAATAAAGAATCTAGCTAGCCTCTGTCTCTGGGAGGTAACTTCTAAATTCTTGGAATCTTCTGAGTCATGAGATCTTATATTACTCATGACAGGTTCAGAACAAACCTCTACGTTGATACTAATAAGGTGACTCACAGTGAGCCCCTAGATGGTTCAAGCTAAAGAGATAATACAGTTGGGGACTGTTCACACCAAAAAAATCAAACATGTAATTGGAGGGTTGGACCTTTGACCCATGTGACATAAGCCTGGCCTCAGGAAAGTAGGAGGTCTGGAGAGAATGAGCCACATGGACAGTGACAAAATCATTCATGCTTATACAATGAAACTCCTGTAAAAATTCTAGACACCAAAGCTCAGGTGAGCACCCTAGGTGGCACTACTCTATACTGTCACCTATTGATGTGCCAGGAGGGTAACACATCCCTGAGGTTGATGGAAGCTTCATATTTGAACCCTCCCAGACCAGGCCCTGTGTGTCTCTTCCTTTGGCTGGCTGATCTGTATCCTTTTGCTATAATAAACCTGTAATGATAAGTACAGCACTTTCCTGAGCTCTGGGAGTCATCTAGTGAGTTATCAAACTTGAGGAGGTGGTAGAAACAGTTCGTCAGAAGGAAGAATGGCCCATGAACTCCACACTTGCACCTGGTATTTGAAGTAAGAGAAGTCTTGTATGTTAAGACTTGCAGAAGTCTTAACACTCCTCAAATCCTTTGGTCAGAGGTATAAAATGGTGGAAGAAGGAGCCACATGGATAAGCATTATCCATGAATATCATTGTCTAACAGAAATGAATTTACATAATCATAAAAATGGAGTGGTCCATGACAGCTGTACAATGAGCTGTTAATAGGCTGTCTTCGTTGGTGAAAACAAATATTGCCCATTTATATATCCTTGATAGCTACTATGCTTAATTACTCATTCAAAGTATAGTGTCACTGAGCTTAGTTCAATGTATAAATTTTAGACCAGTTTGTTTTATAATTCCTCAATGAGATCACTGTGGAAAACTGTTGCCAAGTTACTTTACATTTTTCCTAACATCAAAAATTAAGTATTTGGCCTAATCTTAAGACTACAATTATTCAGGCAAGAAATAAGTAACTGAATGCTCAGAGGTACAAAATCAAATTATTATTCTTTAGAAAGATTCAATGTGCATCAAAAATAATTATATTTCAGTTGGCAATTAAAAAATAATCCATGAAAATTAAATTCTACACACCTAACAAAACTGCTTATTTTTGCCATGGGACCTTCATTCATTCAAAATATCTTCTCTAAACACCAAAGTTCCAGACACTGTGTTAGGCAATGAACATACAAGGGCAGAAAAGCTGGGATGCCACTGGGATAAAACAGAGAGCTGAACAAGTTCAAAACTGTTCTTCAAGGGGAGAGCCAGTGTCACAGGAGTATAAGGTAGGAATGTCCAACACAATCTGGTAAAGGTGACAAAAGAGGAAAATCACCATGATGGAAACAAGAAGCCATTGAAGGGTCTGAAATAGAGACTAACATGATCAGATTCGGTTTGGGGGAGGACATCAACTGGCAGTGCAGAGACTTAACAGAGAAGGCTAGATTGTACAACAAAAAGAACACTAGAAAAAAAAAATCTCGGTGAAAGCCAATGGACGCCTACATGAAGTGCTCTCTGTGGAATTAGAGAAAAGTCAACTTATTTGAGGTTTAGATGTTAGAATCTCTGAACTATGTAATTATTCGCTGTGGGATACAAAAAGGAAAAAAAGGTGTCAAAAATGACCACAAAACCAGATCACTAAAGTTTGAGAGGAGTCAAGTTAATTTTGCACATGTTGATTCTGAGTCCAAGACATCCAAGTACACATGTCATTAAAACATCAGACATATGGGTCTGGAGTTCATCAAAAAAACTGGAATTAGGATAGAGATTAAGGAGTAATGAGCACACTAATGGTAAATAAAGCCCTGTGAATGAATAAGGGATACCAGTTAAGGAAGAGGGAGAAGTCATTATCTGTTAAGTTGGATTTTAAACTCTACATGATTTGTGAATGTAATAAAGAATAAGTTTTAATATAGTTCTTAAAAATAAAAAACCTAGTTTAAAAATGTAAAAAGTCACGGAAATTAATATTTATTGTCTATCAATAATGCACCAATCATCTTTTCATATGTATTCAACTATTGCCACAATAACCTTTTAAGATAGACATAATTCTTAAGATGAGGAAACAGAGTTTAAATAATTTATGCCAGGTTGCAAAGGCATGACAGCCGCATTCCAAAGCAACTCATAACTCCAGAAAGTCAGTGATTCACCTTAGTGCTTGAGAGAACCTACTACCAAACTTTCAAAAAACTCTCTCTCAGAAGAATTACATTTTCAATTCATAAAAATTTAGGGCTAGAAGATAATCTAACCTCTTTATATTATAAAGAAACTGAGTGCCTTAGAGATTAAGGCACTTAACCAAAATATAATACTTAGTTCACTAAAGCTGCAGGCATGCATGCGTGCTCACTTGTGTCTGACTCTCTGCAACCCCTTGAGCTAGCCAGGCTCCTCTGTCCTAGGGATTTTTCCAGGCAAGAATACTGGAGTGGGCTGCTATTTCCTCCTCCAAAAGCTGTATATTAGCCAGTAATTTGTAACAGACTCAGAATGGAAAAGGTTTTCTATATATATGATACTAAAAGTATGGCATTCACTTTGAGCTGTTTTTCTAGTAGAGACAGAGAGCTCACTAAACTATTCAGCAGTCTTTGGCCAACATCCCCATGTATTCCTAGAATACAAATGCAAAGCAACTGACAACTTAGGAGTATACTCATGGCCATGAAAAGTCATCCACATGAGAATAATGCTTTAACCAAATAGATTAACCATATTTGACTTCTTTAATGTGAAAAAGGTTCAGTTATCATCAGTAATTCACAAGGTAATTTTAAAATATTCATATATTTTCTTTAAAAAAAAACAAATACACCTACCAAAAAGCTAAAATGAGGTAGTATCCCAAATATTTTCACACCAAACCATAATCAAAGACTCAATATAGCCAAATATTAACTTATTTACAATTTCAAAGTAGTCATCAGTAGTATTTTCTATCTTTTAAGCATAGTTCTTTGATTTTTAAATAAAAGCAAGTCCACCATTATTATTCAACAATTAACACACTTTCTCACACAAATTCGATTCAAAATTTTCACTTTCGATACATACTTATTGCTATGATTTCCATAAATCACAACCAAGACAATAACAGCTAAAATGAGAACAAGTTTCTCGGAATATATTATATTTCATATGTAGACCACACTGTCACATACAAGATTCCAGAAAGGAAGGAGTTACTAGGATTCAAAAATTGTCTTTTTTCTGACAAGACAAAGCTCCTTCATGACAGCCTGCTAAGAATATCTTAAATTCAGTTTAGCACACCTAAAGACATACCTAAAGAACTCCTTGTCTGTTGACTGTTTGGTGGTATGTTTTCCTTAGCCATGGAGATTAATATTTTACTGTTTTCAGAAAGCTTCTCTGATGCTTTTCCCTGAAAGAGACATAATATTTACAAAAGCAGTGGGGGAAAAAAAAATTCCAAAAATGTACAATTAATTTCAGTATTTTTAGTAAAACAAAATTTAAGTGTAAGGTTTAAGGAATTACTCAAAGGTATTTATTAGTGCTGCAATGTTCTATTATTTAGTTCACTGACTTATCAACAAACATTCACTGAGTTCCCACCAGATATTGTCCTAGGCATCAAAAACAGGTAAGTGAAGAAAATACTAACGGATCTCTGCCATCACAGAGCTTATAAACTACTGTGATAACAAACAATAAACACAACACACAATTAGAGTATATATAGTGAGTGAGACAGAGGACAAACAGAAAAAAAAAAAAAAGAACAAGTTGTAAGGAGGCCCAGAAATGATAATGGAGGAACTGCAAGGCCTGATTGAGTAGGTGACACATGACCTAAGACTTGAAGATTATTATCTATCCGCTATAGTATTAGAAATCATAATGCTGCTGCTAAGTCGCTTCAGTCGTGTCTGACTCTGTGCAACCCCATAGACAGCAGCCCACCAGGCTCCGCTGTCCCTGGTATTCTCCAGGCAAGAACACTGGAGTGGGAAGAAATCATAATAAAGCTATATTTAAAGCTATCTAATAACTCTCTCCTAAACCTGTCAGTCCTGAGTACTGGAGAATGGTTAAGGGCATAAAATGTGGACACATAAATACCATCCTGTATGTGCCTGGATGATTTATTTAACCCCTTAAGCCTCATTTTTGGAATCTGTAAAACAAACAAAAATTCTGCCTACTTCACTGGGGTTTTATGATTAAATGCTATCATACATGTAAAGTCCTCGGCACAGCTCCTTGTACACAGCAGGTACTATGGAAGGAAAGAGAGTTAAGAGAATAAACACTGGATTCAGGTTGCCAGGGGTCAAAGCCCAGTTCTACTATTCTATCACCTAAGTCTCATACTTAACGACACCTATGTCCCAGTTTACTCATTTGGAAAATGACAACAGTACTTATCTCATAGATTCATGATGCGAAGTATCAGTGTAACCACTGAAGACTTTATGCCTCATCCATAGTTAGCACACAATAAATGTTTGCTATATGAATAAAATTATTTTATAATTATGGTGTCCATGTTATTTATCATTTCCACCAGGATACCTTTGTCCAGGGCTAAACCAGATAAGCCACTGGGACAACAAGAAAACCAAGACTAGACTGTCTTGGGCAAGTCATCATATCCGATTCCTCTAATTAGGATGACCCATATGGCACAGATTAACGTACATCCTGTTTCTTATTACACACACTGAGCCCATGGGAGAAAGCACCACATCTGTCTACACCACGACTGTATTCTCTGAGCCCAGCACAGTACCCAGCAGTCTCAATAAATATCAAAGATAAAAAAGTTTTAAGAAAGCCTTTTCAGGCACTGCTTTCAGAAACATTTTAACAGATTTATATTCTGAAAATTAAATACACAAAAGAAACTATCCTTATAAATTCATTTTTGTAGATTTCAAAAATGTTTAAGATACAGATTCATTTTAAAAAAATGAACCTTTTCACAAAGAATATAAGAAATTGCTCTTACATCTATTCTGTTTATATTCTGAAAGTTCCTTGCACTAGAACTAGTCTCCTAATCATGTTAGGAAGCACACAAATTATTAATTAAAACTCTAATGAGAGAAGAGAAACTGTGAGGTACAAAACACTACAGAAGAAAAATTGCATTCAAAATTACTGAAATCTTACCCAGGTTCAGGGTCTCAGACTTAGAACAGCAACACAGTTAAACTAAAATATGAAACAGAAGCTTCTCACTCCCAGAAGATGTTTTGCATTTAAAGAGGGTAATCTTCAGAGACAAGAAAATGATTAACTTTACCTTCATTTCCATGTATGGTAGATCACTTTCCAATTCTGCTTTGTCTCTGGCCAATTTGGCTTTTCGCTCTTCAATAAATTCATCCAAATTATCAGCCATTTTGAAGATACTAAAACTAAAAAAAAAATTTTAATAAATTTTTAGGGCTTCCCTGGTGGCCTAGCTGTGAAGAATCCGACTGAAAACGTAGGAGCCACAGGTTCGATCCCTGATCTGGGAAGATCTCACATGCCCTGGAGTAACTAAGCCCGTGTACAACCCCTGAGCCTGTGCTCTAGAGCCAGGGAGCGACAGCTACAAGGCCGTGCACCCTTGAGCCCACGCTCCACCACCAGAGAAGCCAAGCGCCTCAACTCAAGAGCGGCCCCACTCTGCAACTGGAGACAAGCCTGCACAGCAATGAAGATCCAGCACAGCCAGAAATAAATAAAACTATCTTTTAGAAAAGATCATAGTCTAAATATTTAAAAACCCTTCAGTGAGCATAGCTATATCAGAATATCTTTAGGCTAATTATTAACACGCAGGTTTAGTCTACATTTAGTGCTCAGTGTCAATTATCAAATTAAGGACGTCAAACAAGCCTGAATGAAATTTGCCTACCAGCTTTCAATCTCAACTCCTCCCAAAACCTACAACATACTTCAAAATATCAGAAAAGAAATAAAAAGGAAAATGAACAACCACAACCACCACATCAGAAAAAAAAAAAAAACTTTTGAACCTAAAAACAAAACACTTTTATTAAAATTTATTTTAACTATCTGGAGATAATTCTGAACTTACAAAAAAGTTACAGTAGGAATTGTACAGAGAATACCTGTATATTATTTATCCATTCTCTGTTGCTTAAGATTTTGCACCACTTGCTTTACCTTTGTGCACACAAGTTTGTCCTTTTTACACAATTTTTTCTAAAGTTATTCACAGCACGAATTACACATATCAGCGCTCTTTACCCCTAAACGTTTCATTGTGTACTAAGAATTATTTTCTTACATAACCTCACCATACTTGTCAACTTCAGCAACATTTTTTTAATCTACTGTCCATGTTCCAACATTGTCACCTGACCTAATACTATCCTCTACACCATATTTTTCTCTCTCTTCCATTAGGATCCAGTCTAGGTTAGGTAAAGCATTTCACTGTTATCTCTCCACTTTGGAACATTTCTACAACCTTACTGTCGTTTATGACACTAATATTTTGTAATACAGCCCACCCACCACCTACTCTTTTAACAGAACAGTCCTTATTTGGAGTTTGCCTCATGTTTCTTCATGACTAAATTCAGGTTATATATCATCAGAAAGAATATTACATAGGTGATGTGTCCTAAAGGTGTCAACAATGACAGACACACATTCACCTGCTCTTTACTAGTGATGTTACTTTTTTTTTTTCCATTTATTTTTATTAGTTGGAGGCTAATTACTTTACAACATTGCAGTGGTTTTTGTCATACATTGAAATGAATTAGCCATGGATTTACATGTATTCCCCATCCCGGTCCCCCCTCCCACCTC